GGCGGGGCGGCGGGGCAGCGGCCAAATCGAGGCGCGGTGGGGCAGCGGGGGACGGCGGCGACGCGGCGGGGAGGCGGGGGACGGCGGTGGCGGTCGAATCGAGCGCGCCGGCGCCGACGGCTCCCGGTCAGGTGGAGGAGGAGGGGAGGCAGTTGGGGGAAAATTCCCTCCCGCGTGCGCGCGTTGACCGAAATGCAAGCGCCTTCAGTTTTGCCTCTCAATCTGCACTAGTGCAGGTCTAGCGGGGAAATGAGGGTGCAGCCTTCAAAAAAATTTGAGGGTTTGAGGGTTCTGTTCCACGCCAAGTTTCGGTCTCAACCCTTAAAAACAGTTATTTTGAGGGTTTGACGAATTTGAGGGCTCTGTTAGACATGCTCTAACCCCCTTTCCATTACTGAGAACGGAAGTCTCACAGGAGACGGGAAAAGAAAGGGAAAGCGAGTTCAATGCATTGTTGGAAAACCCACTACAACTGTCCGACATTGAAACGGCTGCTATGGAGCGAAACCTAGAAGCACCATGATCAAACTAGCCCTATTAAAACACAGGGAAGCAGTGGTTCAGGGCGCAAATAAAGCCCACGACATGGCAAAAGCAACAAGCTAAGATGAGCTACCAATAACGCTAGACAAAAGCAAAGCTTCGGGCAGGTTGCACGACCACCAACGAACTCCAGCAGCAAGCGTCAAAGTTCAGATTCAGCCTTCTCCAGTTGGCTTATGGGTTGCGTCACATACCCTCAACAAATGCATCGTCCCTGCACGGATCATCTTGGTTGCACTTTGCATCGTCTTTGCGTCGCCTTCTTTCTGGAGACCTGCCCAATACAACAAAAAGGAGCAAGCGGTAAACACAATCTTAAAAGGAGATTTGATCATTTTTTTCTCAAAAGTAGCTCGATTTCGAGCTAACCAAATAGCCTAGATAACAACAACTAGACCCGTTGTTGGATATTCCCCACGGGACGACCTAGCTAGGAAGAAATGACCCGGCCTAGAGCACACCGGCTCATAGGTCACTTCGACTCGCCGGATCAATGCAAATGACAGACCCAGAAGACTAGGGTGTGGCTTGATGGAGGCCGGCTCGAAGGAGGCGTTTGATGGGCTGGCTTGACGAAGGCCCAAGGGTGAAGATTCTCCTTAATTGGGAGATGAGTAGAAAACAGAGTAAGACACATGTTGTGGTACGACTCGGAATCTATTGTAAACCTAGAGACTCGACCTATAATATAAAGGGGAGCCCCTAGGGAGAAAAGACTTGAGTTACAATCAATCGAGAGCTAGATTAGCGATTCCGCATCCTTGTAATCGAGATTTCCAGCAACGTCAATCAAGCAAGAAGTAGGTCTTTACCTCCACCGTGAGGGGCCGAATCTGGGTAAACTTGTGTCCTTCGTTCCCGATCAACCCCTCTCAAGCGACCACCTAGTTGCGATGGCCTCCAGACGTAGTCCATTCACAAGGATATCTGCCGTGACAAAACCATGACAGTTGGCGCCCACCATGGGGCTCACGCACGGTGGTGTTGAGTTCTTGGAGGGCGCTCTCCCAGAGATCGAGGGATACGCGGTCAGCCAGATAACGAAGAGTCGTCGAGGCAAGCTCTACATCGATGATTCAGACTGGCGCCCTCAGGCCGACTTGATTGGGTACGGGCATCGGGTCCCCTTCGGCAAGATCCACGTCTTCATCGGCGTACTCGGCGAATCTGGTCCCGAGCCAGACATCTCCTCCAACATCATCGAGCCGGCTCACCACGCCAGACCCGGCCGGACTCACGCTTTCGTTTGTTTCACTCATGGAGTGGATCTAGCGGGTAATTCTGCATCTGGCGGTGACATGCTCATCTACTCCGATGGCGAGTCCTCAGTCGACGATGTTGAGTCAATTCTTCCACTTTTTGATGATAAACTCAGGGTCTATTCCGATGACGATATCGGCCCGGAGGCCTCCGAGCCGCCACGACACGCGGCGGTTTACATGGCCGGAAACCAGAATTAGAACTTGGTTGGTACCGCGTCAGCTCAAAACTCCACTATTGTTGGGACCGTGATAGGGACTGGCACCTCAGCGTCGGCCCCTGATGCTGCCGGCTCAGGCCGGACGCCAGTTCAAGCCCTGGTAGAATTAATGACCATGTTGGAAATCCTGCTGGCTTCTCTAGTGACTGCAAAGAATCAGGCTGAACGCAACACTAAAGTGGCGAAACTTTGCGAACAGATGGGCAAGGTTCAGGAAGATATCAATGTCGAGAACGTCCACATGGCTGAGGTACAAGCTCATATCCTCAGGGAAACTGAGCACCTGCAGGCGGAGACACTGCACCTCAATTTTTGTCAGCACGGAGCGGACGCGGTACACTAGAGGAGGCATCAGAGCCACTTGCCATCTGGTTACGCGGGCACACATATGTTTGATACGCCGTCAGGGGCATCCATCCCAGGGGCAGGGACACATACACCAGACGGGGCGCCTTTCATACACCGATTGACGCAGGTTGTGCCCCCCAACACAGCCCCATTGCAACCATGGCCGACTCATCAACACGCGTTGGCTCAACCACACCCGGCGAGCCTGCTCGTTTCCAAACCCCGGCAGGACATTACTCCAACCTGGTGGATAACATGCTGGCGGCAAATCAAAACCTTGCGGTGATCCCAATCACCGAAAATAGCCCAGTGGAGGTTGAAGCCAGGAACGCTATCGAGATGTTGAAGACTGCGGTCACCCAACCGGTGAACTACTCCTACAGCCAGCAGAGACACTCCACCCCTCGCCCAGGTCATGGTAGGAGCCAGCACGCTGAGTCACCAGCGGTGTCTAGCAGCGTGCGTCGGGACCGCAAGCATCAGCAACATGACCCGCCTCGGCCCACAGTCTCAGATGCACAAGCAATTGTTGATGCGGCCTGAGCAATGCGGGATGCAGAGGCAAGGAATACAGGAGTGGCATAGCCCCCACCTGCCACAACCCAGTCTGCATCACAAGGAGCTGGTGTCACCAGGGGATACCATGCTTAGTACCTGCCTTACGCAACGAGTGCATGCCAACTGACTTCAAAGGTCATCGCAAAGTCCCCAATATCATAACCAATTTAGAGTCGGCGGCGTGGATTGAAAGCTACAAGCTCGCTATGGACATGTTGAACATCAGCGACGCGGTCTGCGCCAAATACTTGACCATGATGTTGGTGAAGGAAATATGCCCTAGAGGCAATAATAAAGTTGTTATTTATATTTCCATATATCATGATAAATGTTTATTATTCATGCTAGAATTGTATTAACCGGAAACTTAGTACATGTTTGAATACATAGACAAACAGATTGTCTCTAGTATGCCTCTACTTGACTAGCTCGTTAATCAAAGATGGTTAAGTTTCCTAACCATAGACATGTGTTGTCATTTGATGAATGGGATCACATCATTAGAGAATGATGTGATGGACACATCATTAGAGAATGATGTGATGGACAAGACCCATCCGTTAGCTTAGCATAATGATCATTTAGTTTTATTGCTATTGCTTTCTTCATGACTTATACATGTTCCTCTGACTATGAGATTATGCAACTCCCGAATACCAGAGGAACACCTTGTGTGCTATCAAACGTCACAACGTAACTGGGTGATTATAAAGATGGTCTACATGTGTCTCCGATGGTGTTTGTTGAGTTGGCATAGGTCGAGATTAGGATTTGTCACTCCGTGTATCGGAGAGGTATCTCTGGGCCCTCTCGGTAATGCACATCACTATGAGACTTGCAAGCAATGTGACTAGTGAGTTAATTACGAGATGATGCATTACGGAATGAGTAAAGAGACTTGCCGGTAACGAGATTGAACTAGGTATGATGATACCGACGATCAAATCTCGGGCAAGTAACATACCGATGACAAAGGGAACAACGTATGTTGTTATGTGGTTTGACCGATAAAGATCTTCGTAGATTATGTAGGAACCAATATGAGCATCTAGGTTCCGCTATTGGTTATTGACCGGAGATGTGTCTCGGTCATGTCTACATAGTTCTCGAACCCGTAGGGTCTGCACGCTTAATGTTCGATGAC